ACAGGTTTTTTTGTAACATTCTCAAAGGGTAACAGAAGAACCACTTTAAATTGACTGACGGTATTTGCTTTTTCACCATTAAACTGTAATTAAATCCATTTCACTGTTTATTTGATAACATACCCACCTCTCTCAAACTGTGGAGGCCAAATATGTGTTACATAAGCTGCATTTTTGTTGATTTGTCTGCTTGATAGGTAATTTATCATTTACCATGGCAAATCCTAATCCTCTTTCCTAATGCTGGCATTTGTAGAATTCATGATTTACATAATTAGACAACTATGATCTATGATTTGTGGAATCCTCATTTTAACACGCATCTCTCGTGCCATGCCATGGGCTGGCTAGTCCCTGGCTTAGACATGACATTTAGAAGGACGTGTTTAACTGTACGCCGCCAAAAAGTTCAGAAACAGAGGGTTGGAGTGGCAGACACAAGCGTCAGACTGATTCTGTTTCAAACTACATATTCAGGATAGATAGATAGATAGATAGAATAAAATCTATAAAATCTAGGTTTTCTCTGGGTACACGTACTACAGCACTAGTCTAGCCTGCCAGCTGTACTGAAGTCAGACCTGTTCTTTACATTCTGAAGAGGAGGAGAGGAAATTAAAAGAGCAATAAGATGAAATACCCGTCCTCCTCTTACTGAGAGTCGCTTAAGTGGGTGACTTGAGTTTGTTAAACAGCCTGTACGATGTGGCTTAAACAGTTTAATAACAGCGAGCCACACGAACACATTCGCTCTGACAAATGTCGGACCCAACATGCTGTGTTTACCATATTGCGTGTGAGGTGTATTTGTTTTTTGTTTTTTATTGAAGTAGGGGTCCTGTAGCTCAGGCAATAGCACATTATACTATTACCACCAAGGTCATGGGTTCGATTCCCAGGGAATGCATGAACTTGCTAAAATGACTTCCATGCAAAAAAAAAAAAAAACATGCTTTGGAATAAAGTATCTGGCAAATGTTAAATGCGATAATGTTTCCTGATAAATCTGGCAAAGTAAGACTAATGTGCATTAAGAAAGTTAATAGAATGGTTTTTGATATCTTTTTGACTTTTCAGAAAGTCTTCTCCACTTCATGTTCTTTTCCAAGATCTCTCTTTCAATATACACGAACACCCACGTCCTTAAAAGCAAACCTGGGGTATTGCGACGGACTGGATAATTTGACATATATTTTAGGTTGTTAGTGAAACGTCAACCAGGTCAGATTGGCTGCATATGGCTCAGTACTTTGATCACAAGCGATTTTGCAGCTGTTCACGTGTAAGTCTGCACGCTCCAGCCTGCTGTCTGCACTACGCAGCATACACTGGCCGATGGGCTTTTACTTTAAAGTATGTTATTAGTTACAGTATCTAACAACTCCCAGGCCCAGAGCAAACAAAATTCCTTTTATTTGAGAGATACATATTTATGAACTTAAAACATGTCGGTGCAGACATTTGCTACTGATTATACCTGCATATTTTTCAGTTCCTTCCAGATGTGCATTTAGCGTATACAATCTGCCCCACTGTTCTCAGCCTCTGACTCCCTCTCTCTTGCCGTGCTATAAATGATGTTTGTTTTCGTTTCTATCAAAGCAATTACACATCGTTAATCACGAGGCCTGTTGTTTTAATGAGTTTATTTATCCGTGCCACCTCAGCGCTGCCCTGATAATGTCCCTTGACCTAGCAAGACTGAAATCTCCCTACTGATAAAATATGTTGTATGCCGTTAGTATGTTGATCAGAGAGTGACCTAAATAATAAGAATATGAAAAAAACGGTCAAAAATAACCCCAACGCCATTAATCATCCAGGTCGCCAGGGTTCGTCCAGTTTTCACGGTCCGCTTGAGAAGTAGGGGGGCTTTCTGTTGGCTTCAAAGCGGGACTTATTAGCTTCTTTTCATTTAGCTGAGATTTCTGCAAGGTTTCTTTGAAGATTTGATCAGTTACTGATGTGCATTGTGCCTGCGCCTTGGTTCAAAGTGACACCTTTCTTTTGCTGGCCATTAAAGTCGAGATGGGAAAAGAATCTGTAAGTCTCCCATTTTTATTCCAATCACAGAGCCCAAGAATAAGCTCATTAGTGCTAATTACAGGTTTCCTATTCCACCACATTTCCTTCTACCCATTTGATGTGAAATTTTAATTCCATAACAAAAACCAAATGGTAAGAACAACGAGAGCCGAGTCGCAGTGCTCCGCAAGGGGCCTCCTGCACCTTTTTGTTAGCTACAGGAAACCCTCCCTGCCTGCCTGCCTGCTTGGAGCAATTTGTTCTCCTTGATGAATAACAGGTATAATTGAGTAGCACAGTTTTCTCAGCAAAGCCAATCTAGAAGTTGAGGAAATCGCCAACTTCAAAGTGGGTTCCTTACATCAAGCTTGAACAAAACACCGCAGCTGCTTCAGTAGGAGGATCTCTGAGCGTGTGCATATCATTTCTTGTACTCGTAGGATCTATGCACATGCTGTTATTCATAAGCTAATCACTCAGCAGTGCAAGAGTTGCTCAAAGAACAATTTTAAGTGGCTATTGGGTCAGTGTAGTTCACGTTTTCGACTCTGGTTTGTTTTTTCTTCGCCGATTGTTCATGTGTTGCCATGTATACATCCACGCCTGCTGTGATAGCTCAAATATTGAGATGGTCCTCACTGCAGAACGAAATCGCCAACTTCAAAGTGGGTTCTTTACATCAAGCTCGCACAAAACAGCGCAGCTACTGCAGTAGGCGGATCTCTAAGCGTGTGCATATCACTTCTTGTACTCGTAGGATCTTTGCGTTTTCTGTTATTCATATGCTAATTACTCAGCAGTGTGAGAGTCGCTCAAAGAACAATTTTAAGTGGCTATTGGGTCAGTGTGGCTTCCAAAAAAATGCTCACATTTTCGATTCTGGTTTGTTTTTTCTTCGCCGATTGTTCCTGTGTTGCCATGTATTTGTTCTGCAGTGAGGGGCTACTGCAAATATTTACTAAATCACGGTAGGTGGCTTTTTGTCAGCGATGTTGTTGTGGTGACAGGCGGTTTTCCTGCATGCATGCACTGTGAACCCCAGCATTCGTAGGGACTCTGTCGAGTGGGATTACCCAGGGTGATCTGGCAGCGTTTCAGCAATCAGGCATGCTGCCACACAAACAGATGAAGTCAATAGAGACGTTTCCCCTTTCCTCTGAAATGTGACTCTGACAGATGCTTTGCTGACACAACAGTGACACGACATGATGGCTTCACGCACTCCCTGTGACTTCAGTTCCTTATTCAGGCTCAGAAGTGCATGATTTAACACAAGATAAATGTTTGTCGGTGATGTCACTGTGGAATACACAGAAAATCATAGAACTGCTGTCCCGTGTGAACGGAAACACAATGAAAAATTCAAACGGAAATGTCTGATTTTGGCTTTTAGGAAACTAAGGCATGTTAAGGCTGCGCTGTGCCTGCTCAGAATTCAAGATATAATACCACATAAAATATAGCTGTAAATGTTGTGTAAATGCATTCATGCCACGTCTTAGTCTTTGTAAAGACACTAAAATGCCACTTTAGAAGTGTAAATAAAATGATGTGTCAGCAAAGTGCTCTTCTCAATACATAAAAGTAGTACAAATTACTTGGATTTGGGGAAGATTGTTAGGGAGTAATGATTTAATTTTCATCTGTTCCTCACAATGATATGGCTTATAAATACTTTCATGGTTTAAATAGTGACAGAATTTTCATTATCTGGTGAACTATTCCTTAAATATACTTGTAACTTTTAAAGTGATAACTTTGAAAACAAGGTGGGTCACCTAAGCCCTGCTGATGCTGAGTTTTGCCTTTAGTGCCGGGTCTCAAAGAGCATCAGTATCTGAGTAATTACTGTCTAAGGGGCGCAAAGGCCGAAAGTTATTACCAATCAGTGGGGTAATAGATTCAACACTTCTAAATGGAGAATGCAGCATTTCTCCGCAGTGAGGAGGGTCTCTGCAAGATGGATTAGGTGGGGTTTGTGAGTTTAACATTGACACAGATTCATCGTAAATCATTATGCCACAGACCTGGAGTGATTTCTGTATTAGAAGCAGAAAATGGAGTTCACCCAGTCAATGAGGAGGGCATATTTCACATCAATCACTTCCATGCTCATACGCTTTATCCACCAGCAAGGCCACCTCGAGAATGGACTGAATCAGTTGAGGGCTCTTTGTGTATGTATGCGTGCAGATTTCAGACAGCTGAGAATTTAAAGGTTTTAAAGACACTGAGTAAGCATTGATGTAATCACAATAGAAATCTATTGTTCTCACCATTATGTAAATCTCCGAAACCTGAGGTTAACTGCCTTTCTTAGCCACCAGCCTATAGATAGATAGATAGTTAGATGATGGATAGATGTGGATAGATATAGATAGATAGATGATAGATAACTGATAGATATTTTCCATTTAATTTACAGATATTTCCTTCAACACATATATTTTTACAATCTCTTTCTTAGTGTATATTATAGGTTTATCGGCATAGGTTTATTAAATAGACTGTTAATATTTATCATATATGTATCATTAATAAGTAATCAATAAGTCAATGAGACCTAATAGAAAGCTTTTATTTATTTATTTATTTGCCTGCAAGGCTGGTAACAATTTTAATATAAAAGTAAATTTTTACTGTAAATGGTCAGACATTACTCAGTCAATAAGACCCAATAAAAACGTACAATAAAGAAACATTTATTTATTTATTTATCAGGCAATTGTCAAGGCTAGTAACACTTTTAACAGCAAAGTAAAAATGTTCTCATGAAATCAAGAAGTCTGAACAACTTTTTAGTCGCTCCAGGCTCAAAAGTAAGCTATATTTTTAGTCAGGTGTGGTGGGAACAACAGAAGTCAATGCGACGTCGCTGGGTAAACATGCCTGCAAGTGTGAAAGACAGACTTAGTCATTTAACAAACAGTCTCAGTTCTCGAACATCAGAATGCAGCTGGTTGTGATCATCGGAATCCGGATGTGATGAAAATGTTTCGGCTCAAAGTTTCTCCTGCAGCTGCAGCTCGAGCGCGCGCGCGGTAGTCTCACGCACAAACTCATTATTCAGCGTCTGCTTGACAGGGATTTTCGCACTGTTTTTGGGAGCAATCTGACAGTTTTATTTTACAGAGTTTTGTTCCTAAACGGGCTATTAAGGAAACTTTTTCTGACGGGACTTCGTTTTGTCTGAAGAAAGGATGGGAATAAAGGCGTTTGGGAGTTGAACATGTTTGAAAGGTAACCAGCAAATTTCGGAATTATTTGTTACATGTTTGGCAAACAAATAATATTGACTTAACAAGTTGATAGAATGTGTAGGAGTGTGTTTGTGACATTAAGAGTTTCGTTTGTGGAGAAAAAAACCTAAGCAAAACTTTCCACTAACTTTAACGACATTTCGCCGTTATGACGTCACTCCTTAGGAAAGATATTGGAGTTGAGTTTGTTTACTCTTGACGCAGTGAACGGCGATTGATATCACAATAGTTTGTTTTCTTACAGGTTTGAGGGCTGATTGCTTTGGAGGATTGTTGTTTTTGGGTGTGTTTAGTATCTAAACATCTGGCTCATGTCCTCGGAGACTATTTTACCTCCGGAGGGGCCTGAAGGGCCAAAGAAGCAGCTACAAGAGGAGACAAACCCACTTCTGTCCAAAACAACAGGTGTGAGACTTGATTTTTCAATTTTTGAGATTCTGATTCATGTGTATATCATGGATGCACGGGTTGTTTTATTGTATTGAATGTATATTCTGAAGCAATGTTTGTATTGGGGCTGTAACCATTAATGATGCTTAAATATTTGTAAACTGCACTTCACAATGCTACTAATAGGGTGGACTATGCAAAATTGAGAGTTTTTGCATAATAAAACCCTGATAAAAGCCTTGAGATTTTTATTTTTTTTTTAATTATTAATATAGCTTCAGTGTGATCGTTATAGGTATTTGAACATAATTAGTCACTATATTTCACTTACAACTGTTTTTCAGATGTGACCTCATCAGCAAAAATCAAACAGTGATTTTGAATTTGTAGCAACTATGTTTTAAATTGAACTGAATTCATTACTGCAATTAAATAGTACAAAACATGATTAGAGCAGTTTTTTAAATTGTTCTTTTTCTTTTCTTTTCTTTTTTTTCTTTTAGAGGTTTACATATAAATAGAGCAGTTTGACAGTGCCCACTGTAATAATCTCAGGCAAATGAAAACATTTGCTTTTTGACAGTTATTCATAATGATTACATTTGTTTTATCTCCTGATTTTTTTAAGATAATCGATCATGCAACTTATTTGTCCCACTTTACCTGGTGTCCCATTCTTGCTGAACCCACCAGTAACTGACTTGCATAAATAGCAACTAGCAAACAGATTCCCCATATGTATGTTGCGCCAGTAGGCATGATAATGTTTTCATTATTTTCCAATAAAGATTGAAGGAGCGCCTTGGTAACTATTAGCAGGAACCACTGCCAATTATAGTTTTTAATTAACTTTCTAGTTGCTTGTGAGATTATCACATGTAAAATAAGCTTGGCCCCCTTCTTCTTCTTTTTTTCTTAGGCACTGAACCGTTAACTATCCTATTTATACCAAGCAGCATTATAGCACTGTCAAAAAATGGCAAAGTAGGACAAAGTAAGCAATCACAGGCTCTGGTGACAAATGGATTTTTGTAGGGCCTTCAAAGTCTCTCCGTTAAGACTGGATTTCCCTCCCCGGGGACTGTGTATGCTTGGAGAATAGAGCAATTTATTTCAAACTGTAATCACTAAATACAGCGATGCATCACAAGGCTGCTGGTACTGTATGTGCATTTGAGGAGTCATGGCTGGAATAAAGGGTTTCCATTCATCAGCCTCAAGCCGAGATGAAGTGATATCAATCTCTGTATCTAGAGCTACTGTATCGTATTGATCTTGTCCCATAATACGCTGTAACGAGGGCTGTAGAGAGGAAAAAGCCCAAAACTAAACACTCCAGTCTCACCAAAAGTGAAAGCACGCTTCTGTTTGCTGAGTCACATGCTTTATTCCCAGCATGCAGTTGAGTGATGGAAAAACATAAGTTTGTGTAACAGGACTGCTTTGACAGTACTAAATAAATGAGCGGTTACCTACTGCCTCTGTTCGAGTGTGGCTACATCGAAGGCCGCCACAAATAGAATGAATTGGAGAAGCATGTCGCCTAGTTTACTCTATGGACTTGGAGCTGAATAAGTTTAAGTGCAGAGTTTAAAGGTTGCCTATCTTTTTGTATGCCTATCAGGCAGGTTTTGCTCGCATCCATTTTCCAATTTAGATGAATGTGCTCTTTATAGCTGTAAAAACCTTGGCAGGTATCGTGTACCCGGGAGCAGAATCAAGAAAATGAAATCCAGAGTTCTGGCCCAGGCCTACCTGATCCACCCACACGGTTTTGCAACCGTTCACCAAAGGAGTCTGTTTTATCTGGCAAATTAGAGCTCTTTTTTTCTATTCTTGATGCTGAGGCGAACCAGTATGAACCTCATCTCTAGCCTTTTGCATGCTTGGCTTCCTGGTAGCTATGAAACAGCAAAACTCCTAAAGAAACTTTTTTTTGGTCCAGATAAATGCAACAGCTGCACTGATGAATCCTCAGATGCTACAGAAACATCCCAAACTCCGATACCAGGAGATGCCACTTCAGACGGGCAGGATCACATGACCGAGAACCACATCCATGATGATCTTGTTAGAAGTAAGTGTTAACAAATGTGTGAGTCATGTAATCCAAACATGCTTGACATCATTAGCCAGACTCCAATAGCTCTTGTTTATGCATATTTTTGGCGAATGTTGCTCGTAAGTTTCGTCTTCGCTTGACTGAGAATGAATCATAGCTCTCACTTTCTATAACGAAAGCAGTGTAACAGATGCCATGTCTTCAGAAAAAAACAGTTCCCCTAACGGTTTTATTGAATCAGAAATATCTAGTTTTGAACTTTATCAGTCAGTGATACATATATGAAACTGATCTGATATAAAGCATTTCTCTTGTTACTAGTCAGTACTTTGGCATACACTTCAAAGAGTTTGTGATCCAATCTCACTTGGATTATCAACTGACATCAACCTTTGTCAGCATTTTCTACAGTTCTGCACCACTGAAAACTGAAGCTTACATCTAAAAAGCACTGATGTGATTTTAAAACATTTACTGCGATGATAATTGATTTCAGTATTTACTGCTGTGCTGTTATTCTTTGTCTTTGGTAGTAGCTTTGATTTGAGATTATGATAGTGAATAATCTATGTAAGCGCTTTGCTGCTTTAAGTTGGTAATATAATGCTATAGGTGAAGTAGCATGAGTCTTGGCAATAGCTTGAGTGAAGTGTGTGTTGATTAAAAGAAAATGTACTGAATTTGAACCAATGTCTTTCTATTGCAGTAAAGTTGTTACATTCAGTTGTTCTTCTGCCAAAGTCTCGGAAGCCTAGTGAGCAAGGATATCCCATTGTGGTTTGGCCTTGGCTGGCCTGGATCTGAAAATCACAGCTGAGAACTTGAATGTACTGAAATAGGAGCTCTCTTACCTGGTAAAGCATGGGGTTGCATCATAGGGACTTTTCTTGTTCTGCTCATACGAGTTTGTGTACTTTATAAATGTTGAGCTTGATAACATCTTGGAGGTTGTTGTTCCGCATGTAAGATTGAAGTTGGATCAGCTCAGTTGTTTAACTGACTAACTCAAGGCATTGTTTTATGCAAATGAGGTCAGATGGATGTGGAGTAATGCAAAATCTCACTCATCTCTGAGTCGGTTGGAAATAATAAGGGAAACAAAGATTTGAAACAAAGGATGTGATTGGAAAATTCTCACCACTTGTTTTTGGAGGGGAAAAAGTCCTGACACACCCACTTCCCACAATCCCGTTGTGTGGGAATCTGGTGGACTGTGCTAAAAACCTGTTCCCTGCAAGATGCAAGTTTGACACAAAAATAGCCTATTTCTCATCTATCAACCTTGTTTCCTCTCTTTTTCTCTCTCTCTCCTGTTCTTCCTTTTCCTATCTATCTCTCTTGCAGTATGCTGACTTTGTCCTAATTTTCTCTCCTGAAATGAGCATGTACTAGTGATATGCACACACTATCAAATTTTAGGGGTCAATAGGGGTGTGCCATATTATACCCACGATAATACCGGTATAAATTTTTACATGATAAAAAAGTGTCATATCGCGATATCAATGATATAGCGACGACGTATGGCGGATATACGTTCCCTAGCGCGCACAACAACAACACCACAAACCCAATAGGTGTGTTCAACTTGAAGCAGCGCTGCGCAGACTGATCGGTGTATGACATCAAAGTATTGCGAGAGCGGTTCTATAGCATATTCGAGCGCACACTCTTACCTTCAAAAATAGGCGAGGCTCATATCTTTAGCGAAGCGGCGCGGAGAGAGGCGGGGCCTGGCGATTTCAACCGACTGCCCGAGGCCAGCATAAAAAGACGCGTCGTCACGAAAGCTTATCAATTGCACGTGTTTTAAGCCTTGCCAATTTAAACATTCAAAACAGTTTAAAGCATTCAAATACAAGACGTGGAAAAATTCAACTGAGAGTTCGCACGCCGAGTTCGGTGCGCACACGGAGACAAACACCAAACCGAGCTCTTCTTCGCTTCCTCCCGTGCCTGAACGAACAAATACACCTTGCCAGTTTAAACATACAAGCACAAAAAGACATGAAAAGCTTAATTCAGCACCCGCGTGCTGTTCTGTGCGTACAGTGTGCATGCAGATAGCCGCGTCTACAGCCCTTAAACACCGAATTGAGTTTTGTCTCTTCTTGCTCTTGAAACGACAAATGCATACAAAATTGTCACAATACCTGTCTTTGCGAGTGTCCTCGAAAAAATGGTCTGTTATGTCTTAAGTGAAAGTAAACAGTTGAGTAAGAAATGGAATGTGTATCATTATATTGGATGTATTATCTCTTAAAGTGACCGCGCCTAATTTACTAGCTGCTGTCAGTGTCCTTAATGTTAATCCAAGAAATTAAATGGGATAAAATCACTCACTGCTCTTTACTGAATTACTTTGTAGTTTTAACAAGAATTAATCTGTATTTAATTTATACAGTGAAGACTATGCAATGCTATTTATATTTGATTATTCAGTTTCTGTACCTGGACACCTACAAACTTGAAAAAACTTAAACATTTTTTAATTTGTATATTTGTGCTATTTACACAATTTCAAACCGGGCCCACTGGTACAACCTGCACCGGAGCCCCGCAAACCCCAGCTACGGCCCTGTACACCGATCGGTCTGCTTCAAGTCGAACACACAGCTGCTGCTGCCACCTTATGACAATAGATTTACACTTCAAATTAGGTAGTCTGTCATCGATTGACAGTAGCTCATTGGAAAAGGATGGAAATTCCCTTCATTTTGTTTGCACTAATAAATGCTGCTGCCTGCCAGCTGCAATCACCAATAAAACGTTGTTCCATGTTTTTTTTTTCTATATCGTCATAAATATCGTTATCGCAAATATTCTTGAAATATCGTGATATAATTTTGAGGCTATATCGCCCACCCCTAAATGCAAATTAGGTGTGTTTTATCAGTTCACGTCTAATCAGGTTCATAATTACTGCCCAGATCCCTTCCTGATTAAAGCGCTGTTCAACAGGATCAAGGAAAGGAAATATAGCATAATACTATATGAAAAAGGTGTTCTATAATGGTCAGTACTTGTTTTCTAGGAGAAAAAGAACAGAAAAGGTCTGATAGTGATTCATGAAGAGGCCTTTTACCTACAGTATCACACGCATGTCAAAACACGCCACGCTACACTAACATCACACTGTTTCACTGCTTCTCAACCGGTTTGACCCACATTTTACATTGGACATCAAGCAGCGACCAGTACAAAATTAACAAAAATGATTATTAGTATCTTTTATTGCATAAACCCAGCAATACACAGATTCTACAGAGTACACAGGCTGACTTGCCTTTAACTGAAAACTGAGTGTTTAACTATTTTCCGTTTGCATTATTAACACACTATTTTCCTATTTAATGCTGTAAAGCTGCTTTGAAACAATCTGTATTGTTAAAAGCGCTATATAAATAAAGCTGACTTGACTTGACCAAAAACATTGTAGTTTTCCACTGTCCTTACAGTATGAGCATTTAATTCCTAACTGTTCTTTTTCAGTAGTTGGGTTAGTAGTAACAAAGACCCCTCATCTCATCTCATCTGCTAGTCTGTCTGCTGTAAACCTCACTGCAATAGAAGAATTCCTCTAGTTATGAATTAACACACTAAACCGAAGGAACAAAACTCACCTGACTAATGCAAAAGCTGCATACAAACCTCTCTAGACATTGACCCAGTGCCTTTAACTAATTAATTGAGTTCTTACATCACAAAGACTTGTTACTGGAGTAATATTTACACTTCTGTGTGAGGCAAAAAGGTGAATCGCTATTATCAATAATCGAACACACAGCTGCTGCTGCCACCTTATGACAATAGATTTACACTTCAAATTAGGTAGTCTGTCATCGATGACAGTAGCTCATTGGAAAAGGATGGAAAATGCCCTTCATTTTGTTTGCACTAATAAATGCTGCTGCCTGCCAGCTGCAATCACCAATAAAACGTTGTTCCTTGTTTTTTTTTCTATATCGTCATAAATATCGTTATCGCAAATATTCTTGAAATATCGTGTTATAATTTTGAGGCTATATTGCCCACCCCTAGGGGTCAGTAAGTTTTTTATGTTTGTTTGTTTTTTGTTTTTTTTAAAGAATTTAATACTTTTAATGCTTTTCAGAATACATTCAGTTGATCAAATGTGACCGTAAAGATATATAATGTAATGATTTCATTTTTATATAAATGTTGTTCTTTTGAGCTTTCTATGCATTAAATAAACCTAAAATATGCATCAGTTTCAGCAAAAATATTAAGCAGAACTGTTTTCATCATTGATAATAATAAGACATGAGTGGAGTTATTAAGAAAAAAAATCAACTGTGCCATCACAGGAATAAATTAAATTTTAAAATATAGGGCTGCATGATTAATCGAAATTAAATCGCAAATGCGATAAATCACGATTAGGCAGAAGCTGCGATTGTCATGCGTATCTTTCAGTGAAGCACGGTTCTGTGATCAGCAGTAAATCTCCATTCGAAGGCCAGAGGGCGCTCTCGCGCTGAAACTCCAAATACGCCTTTCAGAAGAAACCCAGAAAATCCCTATAGCAGTTGCTGAATAAACAGAAGATTTAACTGCTTTCATTAATTCAACGTGACTAATAAACACACGACTACGACAATATATGGTTTATCGGAGTTCGTCTTATTATAATTTTTATTATAATAAAGTATATAATAATGCACTGCTAATCGACATAGCCTTTATCACTGCTTAGAATAATATGAAATATGCTGTGTGCCTTATTCTGTGTAAGATTCATCATCTCACAGAAAGAGTTCAACTGATGTTATGAAGTGAGTTTGGAGTAAAAACATGTTATTAAATGTGGTATTTCATGTGCTTTCAGATGGAGCAGCATTTACTACACAGAGCCGTTGTTCACTGACAAGCTACGCAAAATCGCGATCATAATCGCAGACGATTTAATCGCACGATTATGAAATCGAAGAAGTCGTTCTGCGATTATGAAAGCTGTTTGTGTAGCTTGTCAGTGAACTACGGCTCTGTGTAGT